GCCGAACAGGCTGGGTTTGCTGAAATTGCCTGTGATCAACGTCAGTGCTCCCACTCCAAGGTGTTCTTTTGTCTGCTCCTCCTTACTGCCCTTTCTTTAAGATCTTTGTAACCTTTTCATACTTCATTTCAAGCAGCTGTAGAGAAGATCATAAACAAAATAGCAGGGGCAGGACCATTCAGCAGTATAATTGCTAAACTTGTGTCAAATGGTGGTTTTCCTTTTTCATTATTCTGTCAACCTTACAGCATCCTAAGTACAGCCTCAGGCACTGCAGTAACTTCTGATCTGCCTCCTTTTTCTTTGCATGAAAAGTTGTTGGTTTCATGCTGGAAATCATGCTTTCCTTATGGGATCCTTGTCTGTCCAACTAGGCTTGGGATGCAACCACACTTCTAGGTATGTCCATATTTTATATTCAAATCCACACTGCCTTTTGGGGAGCTATGAAGAGCTGTGGGCAAGAAGGAGGAGGGGAAAGAGAAGGAGTATTTCATGGCTGCACAGTGCTACACAGCAGCAAGCTATTACTTTCCCTTTAGGACTTCTCATATATTTCAAGGCAGTGTGTGCTGCTCAGTTGTTAGCATTCTTGGCCACACTGGCACTGCATTGTACACAGCCTGAGTAATTCAGCTGGCTTCAATAATGCCATCTATATTTAATGTTTCAGAAGCTGTGAAGATTGGTTTAAGATGGTAATTTTCTGTCTGTGCTTTTGAGATCTATGCAATATGGGAGGTACTGAACTGTCTCTGGCAGAAATTCAGCATTGGAGTGGGAATGTGGGGAAAAAAAATCATAATAAAACACACACCCTCTTTTTCCCCACACATTGAAATTAGCTACCTACTTACTATGTACAGGAAGGATTTGGTCCTCACTAAAGAAAGAATAGTGGTATCTACCATTTTTATGCAGACCAGTTCCAGATTTGCCACTGGAAGCAATGTCTTGTGTTTTTTGAGGGGATCTAACATGCGTTGATTGATCTCTGGACAGGCAGCCAGGATGTTAATTCTTTCTGGCTTTCCCATCTCCTCTCTGGAAATACTAGTAAGAGGATATTAGTGATGTCTGCCAGTCTGATCTGGTCCTAGTACACAGCTCCATCTCCTAGGGCAAGCTCACAGCCCTGGAGACAAACGCTTTTGGTTGCATGTAGACCAGCTGAGCTTCCAGGCTGCTGCTGGTGGAGCTCTGCAGGTGTCTCTCTTCAGGATCATCAGAGCTCTGATGAGCTCTGTGATGTGCTTTTCTGCTTCCTGACACTTGCATTTTGATTCAGGGAAAAGATACTTCCATAACACGCAGACCCAAAGAATTGCACAGTGGGGACATGGAATAAAACAGAAATATGAGCCAGGTATTTCCTGTCTATATAGCCATGAAATCAGTTCTTTGCCTGATAAAACTGGTTAACTTCTGTCTGGATGCTGTGTCACAGAGCTGGGAGCATCAGGGCTTAAAGGGAATGGCCAGAGATGTGAGACAAGATTGAAAGAACAGACACTTGTACAGCTGTGGTGACCATCAGTGTAGTAGATGGGTTTCCTACACAGGGAAACTCTGGCAGAAAGGCTGTGTGAGATGGCAAAGTAGGTGCAACAGTATCAGACAGCATAATTATTGAAACCAAGGATATTTTTTTATTTTGATTGATTGTGGTATATAGTTGCAAGAAATTTGAAGGGCAAAAGAAATATCTATAGGATCAATTTTTAATAAGAAGATTTATGTATGAAAAACAAAGTAATTCTGAATAATTAATACCTACATGTTGGCATCATTCATTACAATCTTTGTGGAAAACCTTTCTGTTTATAAGCAGGCATGGCAGCGGTCCCTGTTATGAAACTTTTCTCATTTCTGCCAGTGTAAGATCCTTTCCCCATTTGCTTCTAACTTTGCCAAACATCACGTGTTTGTGGTGAAATTTTTCTGGCTGTTCATCTGTCTTAGGCTGATATTTTTTCAGTCACATTTATTTCTTTATTTTCCAAAATGAGACTAAAGGAGAAAAATATGCTGTTTGGCAGGTATAACTCCTTGTTACAACTTCTTGGTTGCAGCATCAACCATGCAGGAAAAAGAAATATGCAAACCTGACCCATGCAAAATTAGCAGATTCTGCAGCTTTTAGAGATAAATATGAGGGAAAAAGAAAGTTAAACCCCCAAGGGATGGCTCCAAATTTTAAATAATTTTGACATCTCTGGAGGTTGAATGGTAAGGTTCCAGTCCTGTGAATGAAAAACCTTATGTATGAATGGGAATAGGATATCTTAGTTACTCTGCTTTCCACCCCTGTGAAACTAGGACACATCTACTGTCTTTGGAGCCTATGCACACACAGTAAACCTTCAGTAGTTGACAGTTTAACCACTAAGACTGCTAGAAGGTTTTATCTGATATCAAGCGCTTTGTAGTTCATACTCCAACTAGAGTGCACACTCTTTTACCCTAGGGAAACTGAGAATGTTGGATATTTTCCTGGGATTTCTGTTCCTCGCTGGTGCAGAGCCAAGTACAAAGATATAGAACATCACATCTCCCTCTCTCTCTCATGCTCTCAGTGTCTTCCACACCAATTCCTCCCATGCTCAGACAGTTTTGGAAAAATTGCCTTAAACACAAAACAGGAAAAGCCAGGGTCAAGAGATATATAATTAGACTAAATCACAGTGGGAGATCACAGTGGGAGATGTGAAAACAAAACAGTGGAAGTTTGTGAGCTGATCCACAGTAAGTGAAACGTGGCCATGGAAGAACCATGGGGAGGGGGGTAGGTGGGATAGAAAAGGAGGTTTAAGTTCAGTTGTGTAAACAAGTTCAACCCAAGAGTCCATCTTGGTTTCCTCTTTGTAACAGTTGTTCACTAGTGAAAGATTATTCAGGAGCAGGATGAAATGAAAACTCACTTGGGATCTTCCAGATGTGATTTTATATTTTTCAAAAGGATGGCCTGTAGGGCTTTTCCCAGAAGCTGGAGTAAAATTCTCTCAACCAAGATGGAATCTGGCCACACTGGTGAGACATAACTGCTCAGAGAAGATTCTGAAATGGGGGCACAGACTCCTTTCTCATGATATGTTCAGGTGTGTGTGGTCAAACAGGTTGCAGCTGCAAAGGAGAGGAAATCTCACCAGCTGCTATTAGGTAGGTGACAGTCTGCTTATCACAGTGCTTCAGCTAGTGACCATTGAGAGGGCTTATGGCATCTTTCTGGTGTCTTGTGTTCTCTGCTTCTCTCCTGAGGACTAGAGTCCATTCTCTCTAAATTGCAGGCATCAGCTAGAGCTATCCCAGGTGAACCTTAAAGGTATGTTATAACCTGAGTTTACGTGGGGTGACTAGATGGTCCCTTCTGCATGGGAACCTGCATGAATATCAGTGTGTGACCTATGGCAGTGCGCACAAATCCAGTTTATCTTCTGGAAATGAGGGAAGTAGTACCCAGCAGGCAAGGTGAACACGTCCCTGTTGGAGAAATGCCAAAGCAGAGTTTCCCATACAAAAACTGGTTGGGTATGAGCCTCAGTGGAAGAGACCTATTTATTTCATGGAAAAATCTTGAGATTCAAAATGGTCTTGTGCTGTGGTAGAGTGAAAACACATACCAGAATGTCTCTTGAAGGCTCCCAGGGAGCATTCCAGGCGACATGATCCATCAAAAAGCTAACCAACTCCGCTGGACTGTAGAGTGTGTGAGATATAATCAGACATATACCCACGTGTATTTTTACTTCAGTGGCTGAATTAATCCATCATACTGATGTTCACTTACAACAGAAACACACTACCAATAACTCCACCAGTCCCTGAAATGTCATCTGTTTCCAAGTCACTCTGAAAACAATGCTGACACCATGTCCTTTGATGCCTGGGACTTCCAGTGCAGTGGAACAAGGCCAAGACTTTTTTCTAGGTTTGCTGTCTGTAACTTACCAGGAGGCTGAACACCTGCATCATCAGTTTGAGTCAGCCACCAGCCCTAAGCACAGCCATAAACTAAGCTTTAGATGTAGGTACATGGTTAAATCAGTAATGCATGTTAGTAAAGCAATTAGTAGTTCAATTACTTCTTTAAATGGAGTGTGCTAACAAGCAATATGTTGCCCCAGAAAATCATAGTTTCCTTTCTTATTCACTGAGAGAAAACACATAAACTCTTTTCTTAACCTGTTTGTCTGCTCTTGCTCTTCATCATCTAACATTCTTCAAAAATCAATGCAAAAACATATACGTATTTCAGAATTAAATCTACTGACCTGCTCCTGACAGTCACAATAAATCTATGCAGAATCTAAAGCTAGCCAAGACCAGGGGATGTGGGCTTTCAAATATGCTCCTCCATCTCAGAATTCTCTTCATAAAAATAGATTTTGGTCATAGCTTTTTGTTTTGACAGTAGATCAGTAGTCTCCCTGGCTGATATATTGATTGTAGGGCATCAGTCTTCCTGATCTAATAAAATATCGCAGCACAAGACAAAAAAAATAAAAAAAGGGGAAAGCTTTTGTCTTCTTGGCAAGTCAGTCTGAAAGCTTTCCAGAATATTGCTTTGCATAGAATGAAAATGGCTGTGGGCCAATGACTAATTATATTAAAGGGCTGTGCTTTTAAATTATTTATGTACCATAGTGTTTACCCCAGCCTTATTAAAACCACCACATATACTTCTAGAAATAAGATTTTGGTTCAGACGAATGTGACAGTCACTCTGTGGGTGACTTACTGTACCAGGAATTTCTGCTTTAATGTAACAAATAGCTTAATGCACATTAGCAGATGCATTACTCGTAGTGCACTGCCGCAGAAGGAGATGCAGATGAAAACAATTTACCTCTGGTCCATTTAGACACAGCAGATTATGCAACAATAATAAATGTAGGAGCAGACTGCAAAACATTGTTTGAAATGAGGATTTGTCAAACTGGGGATTTTAAACTGCTTTGGATCCAGACGAGGCTAACCAGAAACTTCTTTTGTTTGTGCAGCAATTGCTGAGCATACAGGAGGAATTAAATAACAAAAAGTCTGAACTGGAGCAAGCAAAGGAAGAGCAAACGCATACACAAGCAATGCTCAAAGTCCTGCAGGAACAGGTGAGTGATTTTGGCAGGAGAAAGGTGCTGGCTTAGGCATGCTAAGGGGAAGGAAGGCAAAACCATTAGCTCTGAAACTGTCATGGCTTCACCTCCAAAATCTGTAGGAGTCTGACCACAGAATATGTTGTGAGCAAGACCTAACCTTAAGTGTTCTGTCTGTCTTCTCTGATTAGGCTAACAGAGTTGCAGATAATAGAGTTTATACTTTATACTATCCAGTATTGGATTTCATGTCTTGAGTAGTACTTCCTCTTATGTATTCTACATAGATATCAGTGATAAGTGGTTTTGCTCTGAATTTAAAAAACTGTTGGGGGAGTTAAATATAGCTGAGCCAAAACAGTTCTTCCTTTCAAGAATAGTATTGAAAAAAACATTTTGGCATCTCCTGTGTAATTCACACAAGTATGAGTACATAAAAAACTTACAGTAGCATTATCATAATGGCATTGAAAAAGTAGTTATCAATGCACTTATTTAACCAGTGAGAATCAAATCTCTGTAAATCTGCTTATCCCACCTTCTTTTATACTAAGGTGTACTATGACACAGAGAAGTATTTGACAGTATTGTTTTATAAGGATGGTAAGATGGATAGCTACACAGCAAAAAGCAAGTCTGGCCCTAAACCTGTAAATCTAGAGAAGAAACAGTGCTTTGTGTGCAAGCACAATGTGCACAATTATGTGCTTTCTGTAGAAAACATGTGGCTTGGACACACTGAAATTGAAAATCCCCACCTGTGTTGCAGAGGCACAGTCTCTGCTTTCAGACCTTATTTTAACCCTTTCTATATAAACTTTCAGCTAAAACATTTGATGGCTTGGTTAAGTATTTGCAGTTTAAGGTCTGGGGGAATCTGAATTGCTTAAGTGGCAGAGATTCAAAATGCTGACAATTCTAATGTTCAAGATTTTTCATATATGTCTGAATATGTCTGCAGACAGATGCATACATTTGATGTACACATTAGGAAAAGTAAATTATGTTTATTTCTGATTTTTTTATGTTCATTATGAAAGCTAGGACATTGTTCTACTTTTTATATTTATTTTTGAACATATCTGATGACAAATATATTCTACAAACTAATAATTTAGATTCTGCAAGCTTTTATGTTCTTTATAGTTATGGTCACAGAGATAACCTAAATGGAAGCTGAGGCAAGACTGTAATACAGAAAATGCCATGAGGAAGAATGGATTTGGTAATGACAGAATCTTTATAAACACAGATTTCACCAGGTCTCTTGAGTTAATTGGATCTCATTTCCATTTTCACGTGACTTTCAAGGTATAGCATTATAAAGTGCTTTAAAAAAAAACAAAAACAAAAATTGCACTAAATTATTTTATATCTTTGTAGTAATTATATGCTGCAAAAACATATAGGAAGATCTTGCAATGTGAGGCCCAGTAGGGACCACCAGGGCAGACTGCTGAATCTCTGCAGACTGCTGCTAATTGCGAATCAAATGTGCACTCATGCTAGGCAGACAGGCGAAACAGTAGCTGGAAGGGAGGCAGGCTAGATCTGCATTTCTCTTGAGAATTAGCTCTGAAACGTGCCTGAGGCCAAGACTGTAAGTAGCCAGAATTCCTGAAGAGTGCTAGGCAGCCAGTGTGCTCCTCCAAGAACCCTGAACGAGTTCCAAAATTTCCAGAACAGCAGAAGCCTTTGCAGTAATGACCCCCACTTGCCAGGACTCACAGCTTTTCTTTACAAGCACCAAGCTTATCTGTGTGTTTTATCCACAATGGGTATTGAAAATCATGCAGCCAAGCCAAGTAAATAGAGCATTTCTTTCAAAAATAAATAGCATAGGACTCTTGCCTTGACTTTATGGCTTGGCTTTGTGATAAGTTTGCTAAAAATTGCCTTTTCATCCCAAATTGGCAGAGGGATCCTGCCCGGCCTCACTCAGGGCATGTGTACATGGAGGTGAAGCTCCATCCAAGCATTGCTGCTCCATGGTCCCAGCCACATCCAGGCTGGGATGTCCTGCTGGGAGAAGTCCCACTTGCTGGTGCACCATATTGCATTGCTGTAGTCAGACGCTTCTGAATCACATCTGGCACGTGCTCTTCAGCTCTGGTTGTCTGAGGGATTCACGCCCACTGGTTTGAGTAAGGTCTACCTCACCACAGCATTAGATTTATCAGATACTTCTGATTCCTCATCCCTTCTCCTTCCAGGCAGGCCCCTGGTTGTTGCTGGCACTACCTCTGTGTGTTGCCTCAGCACACCATCCACTGCTAACATCACATTTGCCCCTGATTTACCCTGGAGTCAGTGTAGGGGGCAAGGCAAGTTTTTCCAATATTGTACATTTTTCTAAGCTTCCTATTCCAGCATTTCGCTATTTAACATGTGAGAGAAGAATATAATTTAAATAATAATTTAGAAAAAAATATATTGTGCAAAAAGGGATTTCACCCCCTTTAACCGATGGGAATGCAGCTGCACACTTTCTACCCTTAAGTTTTCCACCATTATCTCCACTGCAGACGTCCTAGTCTTGGCAGGGATGCAAGCACCTTCTTGCCTAAGCTCTGGCATCCTTTTCAGAGCATATAAAAGTGTGCAATAAAAGAGATGGAGAGGCTCAGGCATCCTCTCTGCATTATATCAACTGATGAAGTAGTGCCAGGGTGATAATGGAGGGAAACCTTGGCAGGGCAAAAGCCTGCATGAGCAAAGTGGGCAGCAGGCTGAGCCCAGTCTCCCATCAAACCCACGTGTGGCTGATGGGGATGTGGCATGTCACCAGAAGAGCACTTTGCCAGGGAGCCACAGTCACCAAGGGGTGATGGCATTTCATAAGCCTAGACAGGGAAAGGCAAAGCATAAGGACTGAGCTGCATTGCTTGAGCACTCAGGACACTCTCATCAGCATGCAGAACAGCTTTACAAAACTGAGCATGCTCTCCTGACCTCATATTCAGAGGAGTAACTCAGCTGAACCCCACAGGACTGCTTATAATGTGTGAATTTCTATAATGAAGAATTGGCAGAATCAGGAAACAGTTCTTCCGGTCACACTGCGATCCATAAATTCTTAATTCTTGTGCCTGTCGGAAGCAGCCATCTCAGCTCATTCCTACCAGCTATCCTCACAGTGGAGTGATTTCACAGGATGGTTATTTTTTCAGAGTAGGGAAAACATGTAGTATTCATTGGAAATGCACCACCCTGCTGTCAATATAAATTGCAGACTTCTTGAGGCTTTTGAAAGATGAGCTTCAGTGAATTGAACCAGGAGACCTGATGATTTTGCAGACCCCAGATATCCTTTGTACTACTTTATCAGGAAGTGTTGCCCTCTTCCCTCTCCATGAGGACTGGTTTAGGAGCTTGAGCTGCAGTTCCTGAATTGGTGCAGTTCACAGCCCTGCATAATAAGGTACAAGCAGACCATGGCCTGCTTACCCTAAGTGTCAGATTGGAAACTGAACAGCTGGGAGCTGAATCACACTCAGTTCAGCTGTTTTTGCCACGTAGCAAAAATACGATGGAGGTAACCAAACCCCTAGGATTGTAGTCCACCAACACTTCTGAGTCAGACACTAATCAATACATATTAGTGTTCCATTTTACCAGGATTTTAGAATGTTGCCAATTAGAGCCAGAGCTTTAGAATCAACAGTTACGTCAAACCCAGTTTCTTTGCTAAAAAAGAAGAAATTCAGAGGAAAGTTTTGTTTATTGTTCCCCATCCCTCTCCTCTCCCTCCATCCCCCTCCTCCATAGGATATATATTGTGAATTAAATTACAATAAAAGCATGTCTTTTCAGAGCTTAACCTAAAGAGCAAATGATTCTATGAGTTTCATTTAAGAGTACAAACCTCCATGGCTTATAGGCTAAGGAGAGCTGCAGTGTCTCCTCTTTGCTCTGTTTGCTCAATCACAGGATGAATGACAGCATATTTCACTGTGGCTCAAGATATAAGCTAGGACTTTCCTTAAATCTCCTGAGAGTGATCTTTACAATTCCCAATGTAATCCTGGATTTTCCCCTAAAAGCTAATTCAGGAGGGGAAAAAAAAGTTTTTGTTCAGGTCATATATTTGCCGTGTCCCCTCGGTTCTTCCTGCCACTGGTTAAATAAAAAAGCTGTTCTTCCCTTCCCCTCCTTTTCCATCATGCCCAGGAGCCATGTCAGTTACTTAGGTACATTGTCAGGAAGACAATGTATAGTAGCACTTCGGCATCTTTCCTCAAAATATATCATGCAAAAGTAATCATTGGCAAAACACTATTTAGCTAGTGGCAACTTGCAGATATTGTAAAGTTTAAATTAATAGCAACAACAGTGGGAAATTAAATTGTTTATTATTCTTGAGAGAGAAATCTGTGTACCTTTTATGCCTTGAAACTACTTTCTAATCTTATTATTTAAAAAATAATGACCCAGTCCTATTATTTTTCTTTTTTTGCCATCCTATCAAGCCTTAAGTATGTTGGTTTCAAAATGGTTTGAGCAAAAACTCATTAGAATTATATGCTCCATCTGTTTTTCTCATTGGAAGCTTTATAAAACACTCCTTCAAATAAATCAAAGATAACTGTGTGAAATACTGAAGTAATGTGCTTGTTTTGTTCTGTTTTGCTTTTTTTTCACTCTTTGCAGTTAAAAAGCGCCAAGGAATTAGCAGAAATCAATGGGCATGATGAATCTCAAGCAAATGTAGGTACATGTGTCTCTCTGTAGATTTGGTTCATGTATGTGTATGGTCTCAAATTTACTGTGTATGTCTTAAAGCTGATAGAATGGCTGAATGATTTGCACATCAAGTTTGAAGTGTCTGGGGTTTTTTTCTTGAAGCCACAGGTTCAAATCCCAGCAAACTTCATTCAAGGTAGATAAATTGGGTTCCATGCAATTTACTTCGTAGGATTTATTTGGATGAGACTTTAACAACCAGTGTCCTACTTGCTGAATGTGGGTGTTAAAGATACCATGGAAACGACTGCAAAAGAAATGCTTTTCCTTAGTGTCCTGTCCAGGATTAGTCAAGCTACAAAGTTACACCATTTGTCTCTGTGGCTGCCACCTTGCAGCTGTGCAAGCCTGGCTGTATTTCAGTTCTGAGTGAGGTGGTTTGTATATGTGTATAATTTTGAAACAGTTAATTTTCACAAGAGGACTAAATTAATTCACTGAATCATCATTTAGTCCAAAAACATTAAAGGACTCTTAAAGTCGTGTGTTTTAAAAACCTGCTGCCAAAAAAAAAAAATTGTTTCTATTTCCTTAATGATTGCCATCAAAATAGCAATTTCCATAAGGGGGGAAGAGAAAAAAAAAAGGGAAAGTTTCCTGCTATGTTTGTCATTCAAACCATGAGTCTTTGTCATAAACATATGAATATTAAATCCAATTATATATGATAGCTTCCTCCTGGCCAAGTGAACTAGCAGCAATTTAAACACTAATATATTTTAACATCTACTTTAGGCCATGTGTTGTGTAATTGCTCAGTCAGGAAAACAGTTTTATTTTAAACGTGAATGGAAGGCTCAAGTTTTGTGAACTGCTTTTTTGATAAGGAAATGTTGTCCTCTTTTTTTAATCCTTTCCTAAATCTTATTCATTGTGATCCGTTTCCACAGTGAAGTCGATAGAGCCTCGTAGCTCTCAGCATTTGGACAGGAGACATTCAATATTGTCTGATAGCTCCAACAAATCTGCAGCTGCAGTCTGTCTGCGCAGCATCCCATTGCCCCTTTAAAAGATTCTGTTTGTAAACCAAAAATACATTAATCCAATCATGATCTTGAAATACTCACATATGCTAGCTAAAAAATGGTTGTTGTACAATAAATAGCTGATTGCAGGTTTCCCGAAGGAAATCCTAAAGAAATAGCCACATGTAAGTCTTATAAACTCTCTAAAAGAACTTTCTTCCTCACCAAAAATGTAGATGTAACAATGTTTTGTGGTATTGAAATGTTTTAAAGGGAAATTGCCTGAAAGCTTCAAGCTGTACCATTCTGGCTCATAGGTAACTGCATAAACAGATGTGCTTGAAAATTTTATATTTATATAATATAGAGGTTTAAATAGCATTAAAAGGAAACATTTCAATTGTGTAAAGAGAGTGTTTTGGTCCACAATGCCCAGATATCTAAAACAAAATATTTCAGAACCTTTGGTCAATAGTAAATTTTTCAAAATGTAATATTTTGATCCAGTTTGTAATTGTACAAGCTCTCAAATGCCTGAATTTTCCATAGGATAGAAACTGTATTTTATGCCACTCTTTTCCATGAGCCTTTCCCCTGCTGATCTCATAGCAATATATGACTCTTAAAAAAGAAGTCAATACCTAGATTAATGGCAAAGAGGGAAACCAGATAGTTACAATTATTGAGTCACAGTTGCAGCCATGTATTCAACAATAATACCACCATGGAATCAGAAAAAGCACAGCAGTATAAATGAAAATAGAGAAATAGAGGGAAAGAACTGATGTTAAAACATTTGCTACAATAATGAACTTTGTAAAATGGAAGCTGAAGTGCCTGTTAAACAATTGTCATTCATATCAAATATGTAGCACTCAGGTGCTGTGCCTTGCAGGTTGTCTCCATATATATTCTCAGCTGACTCCATGGATTTTGCCCCTGGCCAGTGTGCAAATCAGGGATGATCAAAGAGAAGGAGGCTTGATGGCTCCTACGTGGTTCTTAGTGAACTGTGATGCATATAATTGGATTAGGACATATTTGTTACAGATGACAGGTTGAATTCAGCAAATTAAATACCTCTACATGCCGAGTAATAGTGGGAGGTGTTGGTAAGGAAAAATGGCAACGTATGCCTGTACACTGAACACACAATCTTATCTTCAGACTGTGGCGTATTTAGATTACTTTGCAGAAAATCAGCTCCTAGAAAGGACAGAAGAAACTTTAGGCACAGGGTATACACATCAAGAAAGCCCATACTGTAATCTTAAAGGTTACTTTCTTCACTCAGGATTTCTCCTGATTGCACTAGTCTGCATAATCTTTTACATTAGAAAATTATGTTATTTAAAATAAAACGTGGAAATATCTCTCTTAGCAAAATCAGATACAGATGAAAATATATATACTTAGACCTATCCTGGTCTTCTACATATAATATGAGACCATCCTTATAATATGAGACCATCCTGAAAGGGAAACAAGGATCTGGACACCTTTGGAAAAAGAAAAAACTTCCCTCCTGAAGTAATTTGTAGGCACCCAACCTACAAACTAACCTTCATTTTTTTTTCCTCTTGTTTTCACAAGAAAATTAACAAAGTTGACTAAGGGGCTGGAGCAATTGCAATGTCACATTCCCTGCATGTCAGTTCACACAAAGTCTGTGGGGGTAGGGTAGACCAAAATTTTAGTGTATTGCCAGTACATCTGTTATTTCCAGAAAGCAAAACCATCTTACAAGGTTCTCTACAGAGTCAAAAGGGTGTTTCATGAGTGATTTGCCAGGTACATGCAGTAATATTTGTTATGGCTGTTGATATTTCCCAGCTATGCTCTGTGTCAGGAAAGGCCAAATGTCAGGCTTAGGCAGTACACAAAGCCCGGGATTCTGGTTGGGTGTTAACAGAGACTTCAACAGCCTGCACTGCCAGAGGTGCTGTCACTGAGTGCTCACTTGCATCAGTCCTGTGCTTTGGAAGAGATCAGTCCTTGCTTCTAATCTGACCCCCTTTTAATTTCCTCTTCATTGCTGCACATAATGGTATTTCATTCACATCTCTGTCTTAACCGAAGTGAAAATAATGACCAATGGACAATCATAATTTCAGATATAATCCTCTTCAAGGATGTTCCCAGACTCTTGGGACCTGAATATTCCCAACATGAAAAAAATAATCTTGCTTGGGAGCTGTGCTTGAGTAGAGGTTATTTTGCAAACTGAAAATGCTAATCACATGTTTTGTGATTAACTCTACAAAGACAATTTATTCTCCTACTCTTCCTGTAAGTTCAGTGGCTTTCTGTGAAGCCCTTAGTACATAAATTAATTTTGTGTTTTGATCAAAGATCTCCTTTTGCTCGTTGCTGAATTCAGTAAAGATATGGCACTGCATGCAAATACAGTGATTACGTCCCTTTGGTTTGGAAGTCAGAAGGTTAACATCCATGGTATCCCTCTATTGTAAATGGAGAAAGGAAGATTTTTTTTTTTTAATACAAGTCTCATTTTAGAGTTACTCAGTGCTCTTCCAGGAGTTTGTTGCGCTCCTTTGTCAGCTGCCTTCCTTAGATGGCAGCTGTGAATAACTCCTACCCTTTGTAAAAGTGTTGTAAAATTGTAATCAAGATTATCAGTTTGCCATATTCAGACCAAAGCAAGACATGGTTAATGGTCACAGAAGCATTTTTAATTTTGATTGCAATTTGATGGCAAAGTCCTGACACTGTTGAAGTGACTAAAGAAATTCCCATGAGGTTAAAAAATCAGAAATTTGCCAAAAGACTTTAAAGGGTTACTTCATTATCACCAAGATGTAATAAAATTTCAGAGAGTGAAACTGACTTCACCATAAGGGTTTTTTTGACTAGCTTTTTGTTCTGTTTGAGTTTTGTTGTTTGAACAAAATACCAACTTTGACCGCATTCACCTGTCTGCCTTCAGTTATCGTCTCCCACAGCTTGGACACAATGTTCTGTGGGTTTTTCTCCAGACACAAAATCAATAATATTAAGTAGGGATGCATTTTTCCATTTGAATGCTTGAAGCTGTTGTCAGAGCATTTCTTGAGTTGAACCAAGCATCTTACATTTAATGTTGATTCTTCCTTTAAATTTTGTCTTTTGTATTTGCTTTTGAAGCAGTTTCCAGATGATCCCTGACTCTGAAGAGGGGGGATATATCACTGCATTACTCACTTTATGCTACACTGACAGTGATCATATTCCTAAGTATGCCCTAGTTTTCTCTTTTCATAGAATAGGTTAATCACTGATGATCTTCATCAAAGAAAAGATGGTTCTTAAGTGAGGCTTACTTTTGCCACAAGTCAGGCAAAGATTTAAAAAGCTAACCCTCTTCAACTTTTGGAAAAGTCTGTCATTCCATCAAACTCATCAGAGTTAACTTCCTGTACTTCCCTATGCCGAGCTTTAATTTAGGCATCCAAAGGTGCCTACTGTGAATGTTTTATATGTGTATGTGTTAGTACACGCATGCCATTTGTGTGGCATCTCCACTTAGTGTGGCAGCATCAAATTGAGCCAGGTGAGATGGAAAGGACCTTGAACACAGGGAGAGGAGTAGGAGCTAGAAGAATGCAAAATCATCCCAGTAGTTTGGGAGTGTGGGACAGAAGTTGGTCATCTGTAGTGATGAAGATCCCAAGTGATTGCTGATTCTTCTGCTTCACTTCCTTGTGCGTGCTACAGTCATTTCCCGGTTATCCCACTCTTCAAAAGGCTTGGTCTTCCCAGAACAGCACAGGCTTGCAATAAAAAATGTGCTCAATATGGCTTACATAAGAGCAATTTGAGTCAAGTTACAGGCCAGAAAACCCCAGTGCAGGCCTTGCATATGTCAGGAATTGTCTGTTTCTCTCCTGTCTGAGCTTCCCAGGTTTCTAAGCTGTGAACCTTTGCCTCAGCAAACTGATGTTTGTCACTGAGTACCTTCCTTGGGCTCCCCACAATGAGGTCCTCTGGCCTTGCAGCAGG